AAAAATATGAAGGAAAATAGCAAGAAAACACTAGGGCTGAGCAGTGGTTGCCACTGGATTTTCTGCCTCTCTGCTGTGTTTCTAAGAATCTCTAAAAACCATAGGTAAGAGCCGAGTACTAAGATTCCTTTAAAGTTCAAATACATGATTTGAGATATTCATAAACTGCACTTGAATATTGTACCATGAGAGCTGCAATTAGACAAAATTCTGCACAGAAATTACATTGTTTCAATGAATGTTCAGTGGCTGTGAGGCCACAGCTGGGTTAGTGTTAAGTTCTGGACACCATCTATGACAAGGTTAGTAACAAACTGGGCAGAAACCAAAATGGCAGCAAAAAGCTGCAAGGGCTTGGAGACATGAACAGAAATTGATACCTAGAATTCTGAGAACAGACTGCTGGGAGCAAATCTAAATACATAGGAAAGACTAGTTTATTCTCAGTACCAAGCCAGACTAGGTGAGGAAACTGTGACACGTTTATTATGTTCATCCTAGTTGAAAAGGACAACAAATGCATACTTGTTTTTATTTTCCTAGCACCTTTCTGGCCATTACATTCTACTAGTGAGCAAAACACAAATTAAAAAATCTTTAGAGCTTGCCTCATATTTGTTGGTGATGAAGAGGTATGTTCTGAATGAGGTGATATAAATAGAGTCTTTGCACTCAGCATGGAACACCTGAATTTTTTCTGCCTCATGAAGGCAGATCACACAAGGCAATATAAGTAAAAGAAAATAACCTAACAAGCCAGTTTTCTCTTGTTTGCTCAGTTTTATACCACATTTAAAAGACAGCTTGGCTGTGTAGAGAAAATGACTAACCATTCACTTAATAGAACAACAGCATTTTAAAGGAAATTAGTACTTTACAGCTTGATGAATTCCTAATCTATAATGAAACTATGCAGCTCAAGTGGTAGACATATAGCAAGGACTAGTCTCTTGAGACATTACTGAAGCAATTATCTTCCTGCAGCACAATTGTAAATGTTTTTTTGGTTGGGTGTTTCTAATGTTTAATTTTATTAGAGGACATAGTAAATTATTCTACTAATGTAGCCACAGCATGTTCACTTCTGAATTCTCTTGTAGCTTATCCAGAAAACAGAACATGTCCCAGGTCAGTGGCAGTACATATGTGGCTCATACCCCTCTCTGCTGCTGCGTTCCTGGCTGGCCAGTTCAAGGGGTAGTAAATATTTAAATTGGCAGCCTGCACACAGTGGGTGGAAACTGGATAGTCTCTTTGATCATATGCTTACAAAGGCCAGCATATAGAATTTTGTTTTCCTGGTAACAAAGTTCTGGTACTGCTGGGCTGAGGGTCCAGTAAATTGGATATTTTGCATCAGCATAACCTAAATAATCAAGGGTTTTTAAATATGCCTGTTGTATTCTCAATTCTGCCTCTCCATGACTCAATCCTTTTTACTTTCATGTACACTGACTGCTAGAATTATCCCTATACAATGGTTCATTGTATCATGTTAAAAACTAACCACTATATGCATTCCTGAGTATCCCCAGAGTATTGTTTATTCCATTTATGGAAGGACTCACATCTTCCTGTGGGGATATGTCAGGGAAGAGAGTGGTTTTGTTACATGTTATTTGGTTTCTTGCATAAAGTTCTTCCATGGTTTTCAGAAGAGTCAGATTTTAATCTAATACTTAATTAAACATCTGTTTCAAAAATTCTAGTGCTAAAAGTGTTTTGCATAAGATATTAATTTGATTCCTGTCTTTTATATGGAATAAACAAACTAATTGTAACAAATAATGCATAATTAGTTTTACTTCTTGATGTGATAGGGATGTAGCCCAACAACTGACATTAAAAAAAAATCAGGATCTTAGGAGGAAAGGTTAAATGATTGATATAATGATTGCCACATGTCACATGTAGCAGCAGGCAGATCATTGATAAAACCTCTCTCTTACTTCACATTCCTGTTTTTTCTCTTCATGTCCCCCAAAAAAATCCACTCAGGTGCACTCTGTTGCTATAAGGCATTTTGCTTTAATAATCCTTTTGCTGCTTTAAGTGTTACTGTGTATTATGTGAATAGTACCAATTATTTCTAAGTGTCCTGGGAGTCCTCTTGAGTCCTGCTTCTGTTCTCCTGTCTGTTTAATTGTTTCAAAGAGCTCATTTCCTTATCCAAACACCCCAACTCGAGCTTGGTGGTAGAGTTAAGAAATGGTAGAGTTCTCTGTGTCATTTCAGTTTTCTTGTCTGTAATCTTATCAGATCTGGGAATGCCAGTTTCAAAGAGAACTGCTGAAATTTCTACTGTGTGAATATACATCTGTTAGGAGGAAAGCACTGAGGGGAGACTGAGCAGTGTGAATCTCAAGAGGACACAAAATGCTACAGCCAGCTTTTTTTCTTGTCCTATAAACAATATCTTTTTCCTTCACCAGATTGATCTTCAGCTATAAAATGTTTTCAAACTTTCTTTCAAAACTCCAAGAAGTTACTCCACCTTCTGATGGCCAGCCCACTTCCATGTGGGGCTCCTTCCACATCCCAGAAGTGAGGGGATTACAATGGCTCACTTACTGCAGCAGGGAAGACACACAGCATCATAGAATATCCAGAGCTGCAAGGGACCTACCAGCATCATCAACTCCAACTCCTGACCCTCCCAAGAGTCACAGCATGGGCCTGAGAGTGTTGTCCAGATTCTTGAAGTCAGACCTATGGAGGACCTTTTTGTTCTTTTAGTTCATTTAATGGGTTAAACTGTGGTAATTTACTATGGGCAATTCAGCAGGACACAGAGTTGTCCTGTACACAGCTTACAGCCAAGCAGTTATTGCCTGCTGGGATCCTTCATAATCTGGCATATGTTTTCCATTGCAGATCTGCTTACAACTAGTTCTGGAACTCTGCAACTTCAGTCACGTTCATTGCAGTTGCTTAATGAAAAAACAGTGTGTAGTTTGAATTTATAGGTATTTACCCCAGCTGTCTTTGTAAAACTGACAGTATTCTCAAATACTCACTTATAGGCAGCCTGTGCTGGGAGGGGAAGAAGGTCTGTGTTCATTACCTCAAGCTCAGCTTTTTGTTTGCTAAAAATCAATGCTTTTATTCATTTGCTGCATTATGAGTTACATGTGGTAAGTCCTCCATCACAACAGCAAAAAGAGGACTGTAAAATCTGTGGTAAATTACTTTGGTCAAGGATACAAATATACTGGATCAACAGTGCTCCAGAAGTGCATTCCCTGGCCTTATTTCAGGGCTTAAAATGGAGACTTAATGTTGGGCTTTTCCTTGAAACATTTCCATGGAGATTCATCACCTACAACTTTCATAGAGCACATAAAACTGATTAATCAAGGCCTATTATTTGTAGCCATTTTGGAATCTAATGAATATGACAGGACATTACTGAGCCACTGCATCTGATGGCTGCTGAAGTACCAAGCTCCTGCTGTCACACTGCCCATAGGAATACATACTGATTCCTGGAGATCAGAGCAAAATCTAGACATGCATCACTCCGCCTATGACCTCCCCGTAAAATGTGAGGTAAAAAATTAAAATTACCAGCCCAGTTGTTTTTCACGTGGTGGCAGACCATAATCACAGTTTGTGAGGTGGTGTTTAGTTCTACCAGGTATTAATTATTCAAAAGAGCAATATCATCC